AAAAGACTCATAGACTGAAAGTCTAATTTTACCCAGTAAACTCAACCTCTTTTTATCAAGTCCATTTATTTATTTGGTTTTCAAAACAGCAATAGTACTAAGAAGAAAAATGAGTTTGAGTTTATATTCTTTCTCACCTTCTAGGAAAGCTGTCATGAGTAGCGAACGGGCTCTGAAATAAGTAGCAGGTAAATCAAAATTCTGATTAGAGAATTAAGAATGTCAGCTGAATCTCCAAGGTGCAAGAATAATTCTATTAACTGTGCCATAAATTTAATGGCTGTTGTATCATCGTCAGTTAGGAAGAACAGATGAAAACTTTTTGTTAAACTATATGACACATTTTGGGACAGAGTTAATCTTCACTTGAAACTTATAAAACTATCCTATTAACTTTAAAAAACAATTTGGAGAATGAATATTAATTAAAAAAAAAAAAGATTAATGCTATGATTACCTGTCAATACCCATCTTCTTTCTGCTTCTAAATCAAGTACAGCTTTTGTCTGCTGAGCATTTGGATTTCGTATGGCATGTCCTTCATCCAGGATGACTCTAAGCCATCTTATGCTATGTAATGGACTATCTCCTTTAGTCTAAAATAAGTATTTGATACAAATGAATTAAAAACACAGAAAAGTAAAATAGCACAAAGTGTACTTTGCTAAAAAACAAGTTATTAAACTTTAATATCAACAAACATTTTGATAGTACTTTCCATGTGCCAGCCATACACATATACACATACATCAGATATACATATTAATTAAATCTTTAAATGTTCACAACAAACTTATGAAAACGGTAATATTATTGTCCCTGTCTTTAAGATTTGGAAATTTGGCCTACTTAATGTACCACAGCATTAAATAAGTTGCCCAAAATACCACAGATAGAAAGTGGCAGAGCTAGCATTCAACTCCAGGCAGCTCTGCTAAACTGCCCCAGATTAACACACTCTTGTTGTTGATAGGTGCCATTGAGTCAGCTCCAACTCACAGCAACCTTATGTACAGCAGAATGAAATACTACCCAGTCCTGTCCCATCCTCACAATCCTTGCTATACTTAAGCCCATCACTATCACCACTGTCAACCCATCTTGTTGAGGGGCTTTCTCTTTTTCACTACTTTACCCAGCATGATAGCCTTCTCTAGGGACTGG